TTTGTTCCACACCTTGGCATTCCTTTCAAAGGAAACAAGTATTTTATACCAGTATGTATGCTTAAAGCCTGTCATAAATTTGTAAGATTGTATCAGAGTGAGGACATGAAGAGGCCTAGATCAGAGGACTGTTAGGTCAGACTTCACAGGAGTATAATACATTGGGCAGGGTAGAAGACGTCTTTAAAAAGAAGAAACGGGACGGGGCGCCTGGGTGGCTTAGTCGGTTGAGCGTCCGACTTTCGCTTAGGTCATGATCTTGCGGTTCGTGGGTTCGAGCCCCGCGTCGGGCTCTGTGCTGACGGCCAGCTCAGAACCTGGAGCCTGTTTCAGTCTGTGACACCCTCTCTCTCTGACCCTCCCCTGCTCACGCTCTCTCTCTCTCTCTCCTAGAAATAAATAAAAAACATAAAAAAAAAAAGAAGAAACGGGAAAGAGGAGTTCTAGGAAAGCTCCTTTTCCGACATCAGGTCCAAGAGTGGGCTGAGTGCCTTCTGTGGCCCCTTCTCACGGCCACGGTCCTGGCTGTGCAGATGCGGGTAGCCTGGGTGCTTTTGATGAGAACATTTAACATTACACTCACCCTGGCAGGACTCTGTCTCCCATCTTTCCGGAAGATGGAAACATGGGCCCGCAGTACTGTGATCCTTTGACGTAGGTCTTAGTCTGCTAAGATTGAATTACATAAACATCATTCTGTTTTGCTGTCCTAAACTTTACTTCCTTCCCAGTCCTCAGAGTCTTTTTTCCCCATTCAACCAAGTTCTTGAAACCCATCTCATGCCTGTGACTGGGAAGTCAGATTTGAGCCCTAAAGAGGGCTGGCTGTGAAGAAGGCAAGCCAGTCTTGACCATAATGAAAGAAATTAATGAGGAAGGAGAGCAAGCAAAAGAACGCACTTGGCCTCTCCGCACCCCACGCGGCCCTGAACCTGGTGTCAGCACTGTCCTCTTCCAGTGGGGCCTGTGTACAGGGCGGTCTGCTTGATAAATGGATTGATTCAATTATTAAATGCTTGAGAAAATTGCACCTAATATCCTTTGTTTTTTTTGACAGGATTCCCAAAGAAATTACAGTGAGTAACATCCACCAGGCCATTTGCAACATTCCTTTTCTGGACTTCCTTACAAATAAACACATGGGGATATTGAATGAAGATCAGTGAATGAACGAAGATGCCCCTGGAAAAGCAGGATGTGAAGAAATAGCCGAAGCTTTGAACTGTAATGTCTCTTCTCCTTGGGGAAGGAGGTTATTTTCTGTGTGCCTCAGACCATTATGGCCACCAAACCATTGTCTCCACCTAATTCACTGTAACACCAGAGGGTTCAGTCCCAGATAAATCCCTTCAGGACAGAAGGTTGTTTCCTGATTCTAGAATGGAGCTGTGAGTGGATGTGTGCTCCTTCAGCTGGCATTTGCTCACTCTCTGTAAAGAAGAGTCTGAGAGCTGGGCCAGGCCATGTGCAGTGGGTCCTCCTCTCCTCCGGTCATCAGGGGGCACCTTGGGCTTGAGCCTAGGCAGAGAAGACTGTCAATCTAGAAGTTTTCACCCATTCTGAGGTTACAGGCAGCTCCAGCAGTTACCTGGGAACCTCTGGAGATGGATTGGGCTTCGGCACTTGGTGGCCGTGGCCTGGAGGACCCTGTCAGCTATAGGAATCCTTAATGCCTGTGGAAAACCAGAAGGCCAGGGAGCCTGCATGCCACACAGAAGTCTTTGTTCATGGAACACAGGAACATTACTACAGCCAGGGTCAGAGCATGGTCCAGGGTTAGACAGATTCCCAGCATAGGTCAGGGAGACGTTTGGTGTAGTCAGGAAGCTCTTAAATATGTTAGGAATCGAGAACACCCACAAATCCCAGGAACTTGGCAGACTTGTACCAGCTTTGCATACATGCGGGGCAGAGAGCTGGTCCCACCCCGTTTGTGGTATGTAGGAGCCACTGTGCCATGCTGAGTGGCCAGTGGGCGGGGGGGGGGGGGCAGCCTCTGGGGTAGGTCTGCTGGGATTGTACATCCTGACAGTGGATTCAGTGTCCTGTTCTTTCCCATTCAGCTTTTTCGAAAAAGAAAAGCGTTTCAAGGAAACACTGAGTGCCTTAAGGAGAAATGACTGGCAAAGCCGAGAGGCAGGAATGTCAGTACTCAGACGCGGTGAGAATGGATTGGAGCCCTCTCAGTAGAGAGGGGAACAGAAGGAAGGTTAGCAGTGCCCTGCGTGATGTCCAGTCCCATTAAAAATACCCTGCCCTACTAATCTTCCTAACATAGTCTGTGTCGAAGGAAAGGGAAGAATTTATTCTCAAACTTATCCAACCAATGTAATTCACATTTTCATGAGTTCATTAGGTGTTTGAGTCAGGAACGGAAGGCAGGGTGGTGACTTGAAAAATCTGCACTTCTTTATTCAGCATCTGATGATTGCAGATGCAGAGGGAAATCTATTCGGTAAGATTTGGGCAGGCCCGGGCTTAGTATAAACAATAGATTAGTCCATAAAGGCTCAGATACTCTGTGCATGAACTACTACAGGCGAGGTTAGTGGGCAAGTGCATAGATTTATTCAGCAGAGGACGGTGACAGCTACAGGATGGAGGTTTTGATCCAAGTGGCAACAAGTTCACTTAGTACATGTATGAAAGCCTAAGGTAATTCTTTTTCAAATGAAATATTAAATGATTTAACAGTTTCCATATGTGTTAATGTTTCAAATGTATTTGTATCATAATGTGTAACATAATTGTGTAACAAAAGTCTACAATAAATCTTTTAGTATTTGGGATAGGTTCTTCGAAGTTTGAAGCACTGCTCTTTGGTAGGAGTCTTATATTAGGAAGAACTGTAATGGGGAAGAGGTATAGGTATTTGTGTGTTTACATTAATTCTTCCACTTCTTCGCAACAAGAATTTGCAGCTCTGCAAGATAAAGGATTATAGTTACATAAAAATCTGAAAAAAAATGTAGAAGCTGCATGTTGACCGTGGAAGTAATTACTTCTGACAGCTTTGAGGCAAAGGAAAACTACCTAATTGAGCTCGGAGCCTCCTCAAAGCCAAGGCAAAGAGGGAAAACAGCTCCTGTCCTCTAACAAAGAAGCACACTTGGATTTTCCGGAAAGATAGGATTGGTCCGTGCTGAGGTCTGGAAGAAGTTCCTCCTGCGACACAGTCCTGCCGTGACCATCTGCTATCAGAATGGCTAAAAAAATTACCAAAGATGCGGAAATATTTCAGGACCGACCACTTTTTACATCCACCCTTAGTAAAAACTGAGGGCTTTGAAAGCTTTGGTTCTTCAAAGGCAAGAAGTTCTGCAGGGAGAAGAACAAGATGGAGTCCAGGTACGTAGCTTTCTTGGGACCAGACTTCACTTACTATCAACTTCTAGGGAAGTGTCTGGAGGAAGGAGAAGAGGGACAGTGCTGAGTCTCCTGTCCTCTGGGTCTCAGCCACAGTTTTGACCGAGCCACAGGACAGATATTCATGTCACAGGCAGGACCTCAGTTGGGGACCCCATCTTACTGAAGCCTGTGTGCACAGGGCTGGCAGAGTTGACCTCACTCAAAGGGCAGGTTCCCCTCTGCCCCAGGGTGGGCTGCAGGTTCCAGGTTTTCTCAAAAGCTGCTTCTTGGAGTTTGGCTTAAGATCCTGGTGTTAGTACTGGTATGAGAGTATTCCCATTTGTGATGGGTTTTTCTGAAGCACCACGGAGCAGAGGCCGGACCTTGGTCTCAATTCAAGTGAGGACTGTTGGGGGGCCTCCCTCTGGCTGGGCCTCACAGTTCATCCTCTAGGCTGATCAAGGTGGCTGCTGACAGTGCTAACATTGGTTATGAAATCATTGATTTTGAACTTTCTTTTGGCTGAAATTAGCTAGCAGATTGAACTTTTTATTTTTAAAAACATCGTTTTTACAGAATTACAAAAATGCTTATTAGGTAGAAACTTTAGCAAATATAGTAAGGTGTAAAAAAAATTTGTTACCCATAATTCCCCTTCCCAAAGATAACCTTAGTATTCCAATATATTTTTCTGTCTTTGTCTATTTTTGTACATATGTGTATGACAGAGACTACGGTCTCAGGTGCTCTGGAAGGCCATTCCAGTCACATGATGGTAGGCTTTACTGAGACCTAGCGTAGGTGAAGTTCCTTCTTCAGCACCCCAATCTCCTAATAATGAACTATGTTGAGGAAGATGATCGAGTTGGGGGGTTTTGTGAAAAGCTTTCTGTTTCAGTGCATTCCAGAAAGGTGCCTTGGGCATGCACTCTGCCTTCCAGAGGCCAGCGAGGTGGTGGGTGGCAGGTGCTTCGGCTGCTGCTGCAGTGCTAGGAAGGGCAGGCAGGCCCCTGTTACACCGCTGAGGTACCGCCCCCGGGGCCGGTGGGGAGGGCGGGGTGTCCCATGAAGTACCGCATCTGACACCAGTGTGGATGGCTGTCCACAGGGAGAGTCCCTAGGATTTGCAATCCTCTAGGGAGCCACCAGCAACAGCCATGACACCCTAAAGTCCTTATCACCAAGATGAAAAAGACCTATGAGAAGGTGCTCCATGTTTATAATTAAAACAGTGCATTTTCACGTTTTAGTAAAATCTGATTGTATGGTTAGTCTCTTCATTCCCCACAGAACGCAGAGCAGCAGGCAGTCTCTTCCCTTAGAAACATGCAAACCAATGAAGTCTGAAATAATGGAACTCTTTGTGTAAGCATATGGTTTTGCTTCTGCCTTTAAAATGATTCAGAGCATTTCCTTTGCAGGACTGAGGGGAAGGCTGTGCCAGCCAGAGCTAGCCCCTCCAAGGGACCAGGCCCCCTCCAGCTGTCAGGGCTGTGAAACCTGAGTGCCACCGGCTCGCCAGACAGAGCCCCTCGGGGCTGGAGAGGGATAAAGATCCCAAGGGACACCCTTGAGTTTCCTTTACCATAACTTATCCTTAGTTGTGCCCCCTTAATCTCTAAAAAGGGACAGAAATTCCTTCAAAGAGTTGTGCCCCCTTAATCTCTAAAAAGGGACAGAAATTCCTTCAAAGGTTTGACCACCAGCTGTGCAAACCGGCCACGCTGGCTCCCTGTGGCCACAGGGGCTGGGACTTAGCAGAGAAAGGAGGCAGCTGCCTCCTCACAGCTCCCTGTGACTGTGAGTGAGAGCACAGAGTGGGTGATTAGGGGCTGGTGTAGAGGACGCTTAAAAGTCTTTCAGGGAGGGAAGCTAATGCCACTTCTTCCCCCAGAAAGCTCCCAATCATAAGGGAAAAAACTGGAATAAGTAATAAAATATGGAGCTCCGAAACCTCAAGGTAAATGTCATTCATTCGGTAGTTTAAGCACTCAGCACAAGAAACCTTTCGTTAAAATACAGGAGCCTCTTGGCCCTAAATTCTTTGAAATTGAAACCATGTGATAACTGTTCCTTTTGGAAATGTCATCCTGGTTACTCGGCATCATCGTGAGTCACATGCAAGTGATTACCTAAGATTTCTTCTACAACCTGAATGAGTGGGGCCATTTGTAGGAATATCCAGGGACAGTACCTTGGGTGACCATAGGTTACAAAGTTACCATGCAGCCTGAGAAAACATCGTGGACCTTACTGGTTTCTTTCAAGCACCCGTTATGTCCATATTCCGCAGCCCTCATGGACCACAGCAGAATTGATCCTTAAGTTCTTCAGATTTAAAAACTGAAGAGTAGCCAAAAGAGGCCATTAAAAGATCCGAAGCCTTCTATACTCCTCTTGAGGAATGAGAGGAGGTTTGAGGCCCAGAGCCCAGCTGTATGGGGCCGTGTCCATCTGGGCCTCCGCTTTGCACGAGGCCTGCAGCCAGGGTGGCAGTGGGGTAGAGCGGTGCCCAAAGCAAGATGGGCCCTTCCCCTGGGACAGCAGGGGACCAGTCCCAAGATCTCACCGCAGTCCCCATCTCGGCAGCAGTGGGTTCTGGCTCCACCATGGCCCTCTCTTTGGCAGGCAGTCACACATTGAGGATCCGGGGAGCTGAAGCCTGAAAGATGGCTGATGGGTTAGGGGTGAACTTCTTCCTCCCCTCAGGGGCCTGAAAAATGAAATGTGGCCCCATATTAGTTAGTGTGCCTTTCCCTCAACTTTCCTCTTCCCCCAGCTCCAGGAAGAAAATCCACTCCTTCCTTCCATCCTCCAAAGGTTGAGACTGCTGACCTAAAGGTCCAAGGGGGAAACATCTGCCGGGGGACTTTCCATTCTGCTCTCTGAGGCCTGAATCACCTCCCTTCCATCTTGTCTTTCACACAAATGCTAGGGACTTGGAAGGCCCACCGCCAGTGCTCAGTGGTAAGGGGTAAGATGGATTTAGGAGGGGAAGGGACACCCAAGCCAGCACTAGGGTGACGCCCACCTGGCTAGCAACAAAGTACCATCTTGGTTCTCTGTTGAGTGATGACTGGGTGCTCAGACAGTGCTATCCGTAGCCATAGTGACATTTTGCACCATCAAAATCTGACTCAATCCCTCGCCTGGGAAAAAGGCCTCTGTTCCCACACCCTGTGCAGCCTGGAGCCTAGCTCCTTGCCTCACAGCTCCAGTTTCAGGCTGACCTGGAAGCTGACCCCAGGGCTGCCGTCCCATCCGGAGCTGTGGCTTGTGAGGACTGTGGCAGGTTTTGCTTTTGTGGATCTCGACGGCTTCACTCCAGTCCAGGCCTGGAATTCCTGTCTGTGAACAGAGAACAGAGGCCCCCCCCTTGCACAGGTCAGTTATCCCTCCTGACTCTTGAGGGGCCACTGCCATTGCCCTGTGCTTCCTGGAATGCCCCAGGCCAACCTCCACTGCTAAAATCCTGCTTTGGATCCTGATGCGAGCCCCAGGTATGTGCCGGGCAACAGAAACCACGTCCCAGCTCTTCCTTATGTGCTCCCTGTTTGGTCTCCAGGCCACGTTAAGGGGCCCTAGACACCCAGAACCCTGGACAGTCACCAGCAGCCCACTGGTGGCCCTTACGTCCGCAGGACGTGCCGGCCTACGTGGTGCCCAGCACAGCAAAAGTCTTCCATACCTGGTTACAACGAAGGAAAAAGAGGATTCAGTATCATGTTTACATTTTAATTATTTGTCTTATGAACTCCTACAAAAACAGGACATACTGTAGTGGTGACTCAAAAAACTACAAGCTGGTATGGCTTTTGCATGGCACCGTGCACATGGGCACGTCTGCCTGGATGCAGGAGGGAAGGTGGTGGGGAGGCCGGGGGCCGGCTCCCAGGAGAAAAGTGACCAGGTGGGCACAGACTCGCTCCCTGTTCCCGGAGTTACAGTTTTTGACAAAGATTTAATTCCTCAATTCCTCTGCACACACACAAAGCCCTATTTCCTTCAATTCTATCAACTCCCCTGCTAGACAGCCCAGGAAGGCAGAGACCTCCTGTGTCCATAGAAGCACCTGGCCCAGGCGGTGTTCGGTAGAAGAGTCCAGCTGCTGGCCAGGAGCAGCACCCACATGTGAGCTGGGTCCATTTCTTGTCTCATCCCAGAGCCCTGGCTGGGTTTCAGGCCCAGAGGTCAACAAAGCTGCCTGTTCTTGGCAGCACCACAGCTGGGCACCACTGGGCAGGCCGCTCGTGTAGGGAACAGCTGTGCCTGTCCGTGGTCAGCACTGGGCGGTGCCAGGAGGCGAGCGGGGCCAGGGCCCGATCACATCACTTTTGCTTCTGAAGCTGCAAGGTTCCAAAGACCAGCTGCCCGAGCCATCTGTTTCTCCTGGGGAAGCGGGTCCTCCCCTGGGCGGGCCCTTCTGTCCCCAAACTGAGCTGAGCATTGGGCCTGGCAGCCTAAGCCTGCCACCCCAGGGTGGCTGCAGGAGTCCCAGCACAGAAAGTGACCAGAGCCAGGAGTGAGAGTGATGCCCATGGCTGCTCCTGGAGCAGGACTGGTGCAGGAGACCAGTGAGAAATGACTGGGGGATGGAGAAGGGACCTCAGAGACAGGGCGACTGCCTGGGAGAGAAAGAGGGCAGAAATAGCTCTGGCAAAGAATAGAAACACAGCCGCATATGCCGTGCGCCTCCCCTGACCAGGCTCCACTCCCATCCAGCGTGGTTGGGCCTCAGTTGGACCCTGGGGGAGACAGTCCCACTGAGGGTCAGGGGCCATCTTTGGTAACACCAAGAGCCCTGGGTGCTTCCACCCAACAGGGCTTGAAACCCATTCATTGCTCTGAGCCTCAGTTTCCTCATGAAAAAGGCTACTGATCCACGTGTATGAGGTTATGATGAGCCTTTGTGCTGGGCACTTCGGTGGTTAGCCCTTTGACTCGCCCAGGCAGGAAAGAGGAAGATGACGGACTAAAGAGGTCGTGTAGAGTGGGTAGAGCTAGAACCTGGGGCAGAGGTGGCAACAGCACACTAGAGAATTCCAGAGGGGAGGCTCTGGGAGCTGCCCAGGAGAGACCCAGGCTGGCTGTGAGAGCAAGATCCTCTGCACCCGTCTGGCCAAGCAAGTGAGGGAAGTCAGCTTTCACAGGAGGGGCAGGGGTTGGCGAGTGGCCACAAATACTCTGGTATCTTTGGATTCCCTGGATCTTAATAGTCTCACTGAATTTCTGCAAACCATTCACTCAGATAACACCTGTCTTATGAGGAAGAGTCAGGATGGAGCTGCACCCACCAAGCCCTAGAGTTGGGAGGTGAGGGGTGCCAGAGGTCACCTGGCATGGTGTTGGGGGAGCCAAGTTCAGCGGTGGTCCTGGGTCTTGGCCAGAGTTGGGATATGGGGGTCGAGGGAGCCAAGCCCTGGCTATTTCTGTTTTACAAACAAGGAAAAGGTCAGAGAGACCAAGTGACCCACCAAGTTTATACCCCAGGGAAACAAGAACTCCAGTGAGTCCCAATCCCTGGCAGTACCTTTCTACCACTGCAGGACTCCTCAAGAAACTAAGGGAGATTATCTCCCCAAGGGAGATGGTCTATGGGAGGGCCTGAACCTGGGGCCTGGTATGGGGCAAGCAGAGAATAACAACTTCTACCTTTAGTATTACTGGAGCTGGGAGGGCCCAGCAAGACGTTCAAAGTCACCATCCACTCAAGACAAGAGAGGGGCCGCTTCTCAAAGCCCAGTCTTTGCCTGAACATTCCCAGTGAGAAGGACCTCAGCACCCGTGGGGGCAGCTCACACCATCCTCCTTCCGTGTGAATTATTAGAAAGCTCTTCCTTTCCCTGAGTTGAAGCTAGCTCCCCACAGGCTCTGCCCCTGGTCCTGTTCCAGGCCTGGAACATCAGCCATTCAAAGGGGCTGCACCCCCCGACCCTCTGGCCTTCCAGACCTCTCATCCTTCAGGCCCCTCCAGCCGCGCCCGGCACATAGCAGTCAGAACCATCCACAGCCCGGCTAGGGCCCAGCTCCGTGTTCGCTCGTTCCCCTGACCCTCCCCTGTGCATTTTAGTAGCTTGGCTAGAGCACACACCAGTGAACACGACCTATCTGGCAACTACCATTCCCCATTAAGTTCCTGAAAAACTGCATGCCCAGGAAGGAACCTCTGGGGAGATGGAATGTTCTACACATCTTGAAAATCACTGTATGGAAATTCTGCCTTAATACCTTTGATTTTAAGAATAATAAAACCAGGGTGCCCGGGTGGCTCCATTGGTTAAGTGCCTGACTCTTGTTATCAGCTCAGGTCATGATATCAGTTGGTGGGTTCAACCCCTGCGTCAGGCTCTATGCTGACAACATGGTGCCTGCTTGGGATTCTCTCCCTCCCTTTCTGTCTGCCCCTCCACCACTCATTCCCTCTCAAACAATAACAAACCGAGGGAAAAAGTTAATACCTTTTTGCCCCTTTATTTCCACAGGTAGGAGTCTATACTAAAGAAACTGATAAAAAGACAGCTGGGATACTTATCACAGAAGTTAATTTTTCTCTAAAAAACTTTTTTTGAAAGGTAATACGTCTACATGTTTAAAAATAAACAGTTCTTCAGAGAGTGAAAAGTCACTCAGTGCCCTTCCACCCGGCAGCATCCCTTCCTTCTCCCTCTTCTGTCTCTCCCCAGAGGTTCCTGTTTTCTCACACATCCATCCAGAGATAACCTATGCTTCTTTGAGCAGATAAGTATATATCAGTACCCTTTTTAAACACACAAATAGGCACACTGTTGTGTGTGCGCGCGCGTGTGTGTGTTGACATATACCCACACAAGATCTTCCACTTGAAGTACATTCTAGGCCTCCCAGTAGTAGCCCATCCTCTGGGCTTAATTAACAAGCCCCTACATCAGTAGGACAGTGGGATTGTTTCCATCTTCTACCCTACAATGTTACAACGTACCTTACATTCCTTAGCTCCCACCCCACCTTCAAGGATACTTGGATGGAAAATGCCTGGAAATTAAGTACTGGATCAAAGAAAGTGTTTTTAATGGTCCCAAATTAGAAACATTGTAACTATTCAATGATCTGAGAGCAGATTGATAACTGGACATACATATCAATACGTGGATAAATGTATATATCCCCAGGGTAAAATACTGTACATCTGTTAAATTCATGCTGTAAAAGAACATCTAGTAACATGCAGACACCCAAAACAGATGGAAAAATGTGTACAGTAAGAATCTAACCACAGAGGAATTACAAATGGATATACACTCAAATGTTAAGGATTAGAACTACCAGTTTGGGTGGGAGTAAGGGAATAATAATTTGTTGTATTTTCTACAATTTCCAGTTTTTCTATGGTGAGTTTACATTATTTTTATAATACGAGAAAGAAAAAAGACCTCTGTTGACCAGAGGCAGAGCTAAGGTGGGGGCAGGGTGGACCCACAGATCTGTCCTCGGAGAAAGCTAAGTCAGTGGCTCTGGGTCACTCAATGAGATCCCTGGAGAGACACCTACTGGAAGCCCCGTGTGGTCCTCACCAGTACGACCACAGTGCACTGGCCGAGGGAGCTCGGGCCGTTGGCCCGCACGCACCCTGCCTATAGTTAAGCCGCTTGGTGAAGTTAAAGCAGATTTTAACTCAGTCGAAGGCACGGCTTTCTGACACGGCTGCCCGAGAGGAGAGCGGGCTGTGAGCAAGGTAGTGAGCTCCCTGTCAGCAGAGGTGCTCGCTCATTCACTCAGGCTGCTCAGGGAGCAGCGAAGGCGACGCCTCCGGTGCTCTGGGACCAAAAGGGATGACCTCCGAGGCCGCCGCACCTCTCGCACCTCCCGGAGCGGTGGGTGATGGGGCTCCAGGTGCCTCCTCCCTCCCACCCAGCCTGGTCCCCCTGGCTCTCGGCCTGCTTCCTGCCGCGGCCGGCCCCGACTCCATGCGCCCCCCTGCCTGCAGCCCCATACCTGTACGACGTGGTCACCGCTGCAGCCGCGTCCGCGTCGCCGATGGGGAGCACGTAGATGCCCCGGCTGGGGCCCGCGGGAGGCCTGCTCCGGCGGCCGCTCGCAGCGGGCCCGCGCCCCTGCGGTGCATCTCGGGGCCCCGCGGGTGTCCACACACCGAAGTCCCGCTGGTACTGAGTGAGTGGCACGTCCCGGCCAGGGTCCCGGGCGCCTGCAGAAGACGGGCCCCTGCGCGAGGCACCACCGCCCGGGCCCGGCTCGTCGCTCTCGAGGTCCGAGTAGTTGTGCAGGGTCAGCGGCACCGCCACGTCGGAGCGGTCCAGCTGGTTCCAGCGCCGCGCCAGGCAGCAGAGGCGGCTGATGCAGGGCCACGCCATGCCGGCCCCGGGCCCTGGTGCCCGCCGCTCGGCTCCCCGGGCTCCGGGCCGCACCGCCCCCGCCCGGCGTCCCCGCGCCCGCGGCCCTCCCCGCGCCGCCGCAGCGCCTCCCCCTGGCTTGGGGGTGGCCGTCCGGGGAGGGGGAGGGCTCGGTGACAGCGCTTGACCTGGGCCGGAGCCAGAGCACAGCCGGACGGGCGCAGAGGCGGGGAGGAGGCTGCAGGAGGAGAGTGGGGGCAACCGAAACTGCCTGGAGGAATTTACTAGCGTCCAACTTGAAGGTCTCCTAATTTAATCAAGTTCCCTGTAACGCGGTCTTCTCAATCAGACCTGGTTTCACACAGAGCAAGGGCTGGGTGGCAACGATGCCTCGCTGCCCGGCCTCGGCCAGCGCGGGTGCAGTCTCCCCCCGTAAGGTGTCGGTCTCGCATGTGTGCTTGGCGGCTCCGCGGGGAGTTGCGGGCGGCGCACAGGACAGAGGTGCCGCGATGCAGGGATCGCGGGGCAGACGTGGGGCCATGCTTCGCAGAGAACATGTGGCTATTTGAATCAGCCAGTGAGTCACTACTTGCCTTTACGGTGCTAAATCTGTAACCACCAATCCAGTTTTCATTGAGAACTGACATTAGCCCTCCATTGACCTTTCCCTAGGTTCTAAAATCCCTAATTTTAAAGCACAGCAATAGAGGATTTAGTATTAATAAAGCTGCCAACAAATCTTTGGTCATTGTGCTTTAAAAATTCTCTTCCCTCCTGTGCAGGCATTCTTTTTTTATTGCAGAGCAAAGTTTGGGTAATCCCTCAGGCTAAAGGTCAGTCTGTTTAAAGCACGACAGGGCATCAGAAACAACTCCGGGCCACACTCAGTAGACTTCCTGAGCATTTGACCCGTGACCTCAATGTGCACTGCAGACCAATGACTAATTAAGCTACTGAAACGGCATGAATTACCCACGGCTCCATCTCAAGCACACACTTGGACACCATCCAGTCCGCGCCGTAGAGAGAGAACTGCAATACGGCCCTGACTCCTCCCAAATCATCTCCTCTCTCAGCCTCCAGTCACAGCAGGTGATGGGGCAGCTGCCCTACCAGGCCATGGCCCAAGGAGGGAGGGGCACACAGGAGCCACTAGGTGTGTAACTAGCACTTACACACCTGCTCTCCCTGGGCAGGGCAAGCTGTCTTTGTGTCACCTCCGTGCTCCAGGGCCCAGGGTTAGCCAGTTGGGACATCTGGTGACTACAGTATTTCATCCTGCAGGAAAAAGAAAAAAAAAATAGGTAGCTCTTTTTATTCCTTCGTTCATCACACAACAAAGAGCACTTCTATGTGCCTGGAATAACGCTGACCCGACCCCCCCCTCGCCCCCCGGAGGTTTAGTGTAGCAGGGCAACAACAGAACTGGATTCAGCCAAGTGGAAAGAGGGCAGGGAGGCCGGCCTCGTCACTTGTGATGAGGGACATTGGGTCAGGGTGGAAATGCAGGGTAGGGGGTTGGGAGGTTCAGCAAAAGGCAGGAGAGGTGAGGCCGGGAGAGCCTCAGGAGCCACACTTAAAGCTTTTCATGGGGGACAAATGGGAAGGACAGAAGTGTTTTAGCACTGTGCGGCCAGATGGAGACGCACAAGGAAATTTTAGAGACCGGCTGGAGAAAAGTCTCAACAGTCCAGATTAGAGACAAGGGGCTGAACTAAGGCGCAAGCACTGGGAATGGAAGGGGCATGGGAAGAAGAGATGACGGAAGGAAATCTAGAATGGCTCCCATGTCTCTGGCTTCCAGTTGGTGAGACTGCCCATTAAAGCCAGGACTGAGACCTGAGGTGCCTGAGCAGTGGGGCCCCAGCACCTGAAACCATACCTGGCACGCAGCGGATGCACGTACTGAGGAGAGGTGGTCCGTGGGCCTGGAGCTCAGAAGACAGCTCATGAAGAAAACTGAAGGCCAGGGAAGTGCAGGGAGAGGAGAGCTGCATTCCTGGGGATACCACACTTACCGGACCAGTAGGGGAGGCACAGCCCAAGAGGCACTGGAGCCAGGCGAGCATGGCCTTGGGGTGCTCACATGTCAGCAGAGAAGCCAAAATGAGGAAACACCCTAGTGGGCCAAGAGCAGAGACCACTGCCAAAGCCGCAGACACTAAGACTGGCACTTCCAGAGCTGGGCTCTGACCTTCACAACACTGCTCTGGGAGAAAATGGCACTTAGGCTGTTCAAATGCTCTAGCATTGAGGTATCTTATACACAGAGAAGTGACTTAAAGGATTTGACCTTCTCAGTGTTGCTTCCCTAACCATCACAAAGCAGGAAGAGACAGGTCTTCATGACCTGTGCGCCTAGTCTGCCCACAGCAAGACATAAATTTCATTTTGGACTCCATATAGAATGTCCATGTGATCTCAGCCTCCCATCCCAACTCTGAAAAATGCTTCTTGCCTCATCTGTAGGTCACAGGGTTGCTGGCGTCATATATTCAGAAATGTCAAAGCACAGCAGTGTGACCCTGCGCAGCTCCCACACACGGCCACTCTGGTTCCTTACTGGCAAAATGAGGGTTGGGTAAAAAAACAACTCTCTCCTGGAAGTGATATTAGAAGAGAATCCTTTCTGCCTGGTAATAACCAGCACTTCATACTAGAGAAGAATCTGGGGAAAAAACATAAAAGAATCGCCAAATCCTGGACAATTCTGACGTGCGGACACATGCTGCCATTCAGCTCTCAAAATCATGCGAGGCGGGCACGACTCACGCCTTTCCTTAAAGCCCGACGCTCCATGCCCAGCACCACACAAGACAGATGGCTGTGCTCCTCTCCTGTGCAAGGTCGAGATTTCATATCACCTTTTGAGGCCAGTGAAAGACTGAAAACTCCCCTGTAAATCTTCTCAGCAAATACTTTTAAATTCAAAAGGCATTTCCTAGAAGTAATTTTCAATCAGAGGGCAGTAAGAGTTCTACTATAGAGAAGCTGTTCCGATGACCACTATCTTTCAGTAAGATGTTCAAAGAAAGTAGGTTTTCAAACCTAAGATGCAGTTAGGCTCAGATTCAAGTCTGAATTTATCCAAGATAGTTCCTTCTAACTCTTAATTTAGCTACAATTTTAACCTAGAAAGCAAAGCCTAAAAATAGCTTTGTGTATATGCCACTCACTACCAGAAAACATTACCTTTCTTGGGAAAATTTAGAAAATACTACAGCTGTTGTTTCAGACCAAGCCAGACAGAAGATACTTTTTTTTTTTTTTTAAACCTGTTGACCAAGCAAAGAAAGGGGTAGGTGAGTAAGCAGAGATGAAAGAAGGCCAAAGCACAAACACAGGCATTTCTGAGGATCAGGTCTTTCCCTGTGCCCTCCCGCCAAGTTCACGACTCAAACTATGTCAAATGTAAGCACAGCAAAGATTCCGGGGCAGTGTTAGCACTCTCCAAAGGGACATACACCCTCTGTTTACAAACTAGAGATATAAACCTTTATTTCACAACTTTGTCATAATTCACTTTCTAGTAAGACATGTGTTGAGGACAGTTTAAAATACTGGGAAAGACAGATGCTGAGTGTCTTCCAGGCAGGAGCAAAGACGTGTTCACTCCAGGGCCGACGTGTTCCTGGGGCTCTCCAGGCAGCATGGGCCACACACACCAGTATCATCCAACCCCAGTTTTACTTGGAGCCACCTCCTTTTTTGGGGCCGTTAGTCCTCATTTCGTGCCAAATTTTCACTAGAGGCTCCCTGTTCTTCCAAATGAGTTCATGACCATAAGTAATATACCATCTGGAGAAAAAAAAAACAAACCAGGTTCAACATTCAGAGTATGACATACAAATGTTAAGTACAATGACAAGTTGACATTTAAAAAACAATGTCACTATCATTTACCATCTTATTAAAATAGGTAATGAGTTTATTTGATGGCAATCAATGATTTATCTTTAATATGGAACATGTAAAAGGTCAAAGTGGGATGGGTCTATGTGTGACACACTACCTTTGATTCACCACTGCAATTAAGCCTCACCTCCTTTCAAAAAAAGCAACTGGTTCAGGGGCTAACAGCTTTTAAGTGGTTGATCAAGGACTCACCTGAAGGTCAGATGAATTCTAAAACTGGACTCTTGCTTCTACATGAAGTGTACGAAATGTCAGAATTAGAGTTCACTAATGATGGTTTTAATGCTTTTAAGTTTACTTGCTTCTCATCACCTTCCACCTGGCTACACGAAGGGTCATCTCCTGATCCAAATTCTGCCCACCTCTTAAAATATAGTCCCAATCCCCATACTGATGTTAAAAACTGCCTACACAGCAGCCTGTGAGGCACCAACAGGTTTAGTAACGTAACTTGCCCAGCCCAAACAACGAGGGACCACCAGAACTGAGACGACAATGTAAATCTGCCTCTGAAAGCTATGCCCCGACCACTGCCGCAGCGTCCAGGGGGCGCCCTGCCCTGACCACCGTTGCAGCATCCAGGGAGCATCTGCTCTAAGTTCAAGGACACACAACTGAGTGACCAATGAGAAGGACCTGCCGTTAGAAGCCCAGGGGCCTAGGTACTGCAAGACCAGAAGCTCTACCTGGGAGGAAGCACAGGCTAGAAGCATAACTCAGGAGAATCTACCTCGTCGTCTCCTAGGCTAGTGGAAAGCTGAGGGCTTCCTGAAGGAGGTGGGGCTGATGTGGAATGGCTGTTTTTGAAAGCTACAATGACTGAAACCTTTATTTCTGCCCTGTTTTGCCCAGATTTCATGTTCCCTGAGGCAGAGACCAGATTGTGTTGATATCTGCATCTCCGCAGACACATGACTAAAAAAATGCTCTATTTAAATGGCTTAGATTAGTATCAGAATAGCAGTTCAATGTTTCGATTTTTTTAATGTTCTGAGTATGTTTATTATGGAGTACCTGAATCTTAATATTCACCAAATATAGTCAAAATATGAACATGAAAATGGTCACCATTAAAACTTTGAAAAACAGGGGCGCCTGGGTGGCTTAGTCGGTTAGGCATCCGA